ACAAGATCGCACTACTGACCCATCAGTGCATCCACGGGAACGCCACTCCATACCTGAAGGAACTTCTCACATCACAAACCTCCACAGGCAACCTCCGCTCCACAACCAACCATCGGATTCGCCCCCCGAGGACCAAACTCTACACAATGGGGGATCGGCCTTTCTGTGCAGCTGCTCCTCACCTGAGGAATTCCCTCCCAGACCACCTGACTCCACAGATCACTGACGCCTTCAAGAAAGGCCTAAAAACCTTTCTTTTAAAAAAAAGCTTTTAAAGGTGGGGTAGGTAAGTTTGAGAAACCGGCTCGAGATACACTTGTTGTTATATTCCATGGAATGCTCTTAACATCCCGATAGCAATGAATATCTGAAGTGCTTTGACAAAAAATCCATAAAGAAATGTCATCTGTGGAAGCCGTAGCGCTGTAAAAAGCACAACCAATCATCTGAGCCGGCCCGGCTAAAGTAACTGGATGGCCTACCTGCCTGTCAGTCTTCCATCTGTGCACAAACTTATATCGTGCCCTCATTGGTCATGTGCGCGTTCGTGTGTTGGAGGAGGGGCTCTGTGAGGAAGTGGCAGATTTTTTCCGGTTGTGTATTTTCAAATTCTAGCGACCTCAAGCTGGTTTCTCCAAAATGACCTACCCCGCCTTTAATTAAACTTTTGTTTCTTTTGTTTGTTTTTATTATGCCTCCTGTAGCACCTTGGGATTGCTGTGAGCAATGAAAGGTGCTTTACAAATCGAATTTATTATTATTATTATTATTATTATTATTATGGTAGAATACAATCTTTGAGCAGATTTGAAATTGGTGGAACAGTTTTGACTTTAAAGTGGTGGGCAAACACTTGTACCGTGTAGAAATGCATTACTGTAGAACACTCAAAATCACAGATGTGAAATAATGACATCCATTTTAGAGTCATTTCATGTCTTTGAAGTCGCTTTCTTCTCCCTTTTCAAACATTTTGCTCATCTGTTGCCCCACAGGGTGGCTCTTTATCTGTCAAGTTAATCTAAGGCTTTTTTCTTTCTTCCTACTACTTAACTCGTCACCTGTTCTGTCACTTCAGAGAGGATGAGGTATCGGCTGGAAGACAAAGGACACATTGTTCAAACCTGTCCCACGAATGTCCAGCGACACAAAAAGAGGCTTCGAATCTAAAACACAACCTGAGCCAGGTGTGGAGGAGCAGGGTTAGTCGGTTCCTCCTCACACTGTCTTTGAACTTCTCTGTGATGTGAGCCTCTGCAAGAACAGAAGCAAACAGGAACATCCCCCTCAGGCAGAGATGTTCAACCTGACAGAAAGTAGTTATTTGTTTGAGGCAGACATCAACGCGAACTCAGTTGGATAAACTCATTTCAAAAAATGATTTTAAAGATTTGATCTGATTGGAAAGAAATTCCTAACCATGTATAATAATAACAACGTTGTATTGTGTACACATGGCCTCAAGAGGAATACAAATGTACTTTAAATCAATCATCATCAAATCTAAAGTTCACTTTGGTTTATGACCTAATAACAGCAACAAATGATTACACCCTCGTCACCCATTTGATTTATTGCTAATAAGCTAATGTTGGAATGCTAACCCAAAACACTAAGATGGTAAATATGGTCATTGTTACACATGCTGAAAATCATCATGTTGTCATTGTAAGAATGCACTTCAACTTGGGTACCGGTATATATATATATAATAGGTAAACCTTGTCTGTCTCTATTTTATATTAAAGTGATGAGTCTTTTATTATGTTTATATAGAGGGCTTAAGATCACACCTGAATCAAATATGTTCTTTATGCTGGCTCCGTGTTTTACCTGCCATTCAAGGGTGAGGTTAGGTGTACCATTATTGTCCTTGGGTGTGTAATGGCCCTAAAGGTGTGTACAGACTGAACGAAAACAAATAGTCACTCCACATTCTGGAAACTGAGCGTGCTCACACTCACGCAGGATCCTTTTCAGGTGTTAGCTGTGTGAGTGCAGTGTGTTTGATTGACAGCTCAGGCCCTGACTGATCACCAACATACTTCTGTGCTTTTGTTGTTTTACACTCAAATCCTTGCATTGACTCTCCTGTTTTGTGTATTTGTATGGGAATGCCTCTGCAGTACAGTGTGTAGAATACATTTGATTCTTATTGGGGATGTCCCGTTGCCTCATAGATTAGAATTGGGGTTGAGCAAGGCCTTTTTTAACTGACTGGTAGTAGGCTATATTGAGCCCGAATAAATCATTTGTTCGGGCAGCAGTCACACAGGAGTTTTGTACTCAAAAAGCTTTCATCCACAGCAATGGATTTTGAAGTTAGGTGTTAGATCTGTTAGATGTCTGTTAGATGTGTTAGCTGTTAGATGTTTAGCTATTAGCTGTCTGTTAGCTGTTAGATGTTAGTAGATGTTAGCTATTAGCTGTCTGTTAGATGTGTTAGATGTTAGCTGTTAGATTTTAGCTATTATCTGTCTGTTAGATGTGTTAGATGTTAGCTATTAGCTGTCTGATAGATGTTAGCTGTTAGCTGTTAGCTGTCTGTTAGATGTTAGCTATTAAATGTTAACTGTTAGCTGTTAGCTGTCTGTTAGATGTTAGCTGTTAGCTGTTAGATGTGTTAGACGTTAGCTATTAAATGTTAACTGTTAGCTGTTAGCTGTCTGTTAGATGTTAGCTGTTAGCTGTATGTTCAACTCAGTCTCACGGCATTTTGTGTTATAGTCAAGAAATTTAATCTATTGATTCGTGTTCACCAACATGATTTCCCCATTTTTTTTCGTGTCACGCAGAACGATTTTAAAAGCAATCTAAATAATAACAAATTAGAAGAATACAAAAAAATATTTAAAAATACAGATTTCAGTATTCTGACACAGAACGATTTTAGAAGCAATGTATTTCTATTGGTAGTATGTTTCGTGCATGCACCAAATAATAACAAATTAGAAGGAAAAAAACGATTTAAAAAAATACAGATTTCAGTATTCTGAGGCTCTGAGCCATTTCTTTTCCTCGTGGACGGCAAAAAAACTCTGACATTATACGATTTAAAATAAAAGGGTTAGGCTTAGGGTAAGATATTGAGTAAGAAAATGTTTTTATGAACCACACAGCTTCTGGTCTTCCAAGACCCGACCGGACAAAAAGACGTGGTGCAGGCACGAAACATACTACCAATAGAAAATTGTGTTGGTGAACACGAATCAATAGATTAATTTAATTTCGTGACTATAACACGAAATGCCGTGAGACTGGGTTGGTATGTTAGATGTTAGCTGTTAGATGTTAGCTGTTAGATGTTAGCTGTTATCGCAACTGTAAATGTAGCGAGATGCTACTGACTTGAATGATGCATTCAAGGTCTAAATCACTTTTTCCTTATCTTTTTATAGTGTATTTGTATGCAAGAAAGCACTATACATGACAAGGATAAAAGTTAAAGTACAACGTTTCAAAGATAAATGCTACATTTTGACATAGCTTACAATAGCTTGGATGTTGTCATTAAGGCTGTTTAACAACTAATCAGAGTCTGACTTCCATCCCCAGAGGCTCTTCAAACTGTCCCAGCACGCATCTCTATTCAAACCTTTTATTGAACAAGTGTGGCGAATCTGCATCGCGCTGCAAGTATGAAAACTTGACAGGGATCTGCTTCTCCTGACGGAAGCCGGCAGGAAGTAGAGCGAAGGTGTGAGTAATCAAGCACCGGTGATGAGTAATGGATTAAAATAACATGGCGTGCATGGTGAAGGAGATCCAGGTGTACGGCAGGAGGCTGACACGCATCAGACCCTCGACTCAGGTGAGGTCAGAAAGACAAAATCAGCTGTTGCTTTTCACACTGCATGCTAAGACACGTTTCACCAAGAATATATAGAGCATTTAAAGCCCTGGAGCAATTTAACCTTCAATCTGGTTCATTAGAGCAGGTGAGGGAAGTTGTCAAAGCTCCTGTGGCACTAAAAACCTCCTCCATCAAGAACAATGTGGGGTGGTTTTGTCGTATTTTATAAAATACACACCCACGCAGACATAAAACAGTATCGGTCACTTGGCTTGGATGCTGAGATCAGTGTGGTTAAAAAGAAAAAAGGCACTTGTCTAAATTGCGGAAGTGAAATGTCATTCATTAATCCCAGTTTTGACTCATTAATCAATCATTCAATAACTACTTTCACATGATCACATATATTTCCCTACATTACCCTCTCAAAACCCTTCACAAACAAACAGTATGACTTCACCCCCTGCGGTGCGGTGTATATGTGTTATGAAACCAATCTTTCTGCATCTGTTCCACACATTTTGTTGACCAGATAAATGTGTTGCTTAAGGACACGCCTGGGTTGTGTGGTTAAACAAAAAATTGTTTGTGTGGTTAAACAAAAAATGTTTTAACCACCAGGCATCCCTAATGTGTTTTAATGCAGTGGTTCTTTCATGCCTCTACATGCTCACAGTCAACACACAGCAGTGAATATGGTAATGAAGCGTAATTACTCCCAGTTTGTAGTTTCATTCTCTCCACGCCCTGACGAATGTGGTTTTCTCACTGCTGAGGAAATAACTCACATTCAAGGTGGAGCCCTGGTATCAGAGGGAGGTTTCAGTGTCACCCATCGTTTTCCAATCAGTGCTTTCACAAGCGACACAATGACAGGTGGTATTTCACATCTGAATTTCAGGCATTTGCTCACAGCAGGGTTTCCCACGCTGCTTTGAAAATCTTTGACTGTACAGCCTGAAAGTGTGCGTTTGAGAAGAACTACAATGAATGAAAACAGTTGACATTGTGGTTTGTGTTGCTTTGGGTACAAATTAAACTTGTTAGGTCAGGATCAGTGTCACAGGTCTCTGGTAAATACCTGAAATGATCCGAGCAGATAATCCTTTCCAAATGGGCTCTTTTTCTGTCTTTTGCTAACAATGTAACGCGTGTCAGATTTGGATTGGCTTCCAACAGATTCCTTTTAAGATGCTGCATTTCTGAACTGAACTACGCCTTGAATTGAAAGACATTCCTCAGTTTGACTACAGATGAAAGTATTCATGTTAACAAGGCAGTTTAAAGGCGTCCTATTTTGATTTGTGGGGTTTTCTCTTTCCTGTAATGTGTTCTATAGGTTTGTGCAAATGGTCTGCAAAGGCTAAAATCCAAAAGTTCCGAACATAGGGACATAACCCTTGCGCTTCTATTGGCTAGCGCTCCAACACATTGTACGTGATAAGGGGCGGGACATCTCTAAGCAGTTGACCAATCACAACAGAGCTTTGGTTTCAGACAGAGGGTGAAAAAAGTCTTGAATTGCTGGGAATTAAAACTGCTATGTTATTCAATTCAAGACATGATGGGAAATGAATTATTTTTACCATATTACTTTTACCCGCAAAGTACTTAGCATAATCGGTTCTGCTGAATATGTTCTGCTTGCTTTCTGCCCAGTTTTAGCCCTGCAGTTTTCCAAGCATCTGCTATGAACGTCAAGGAAGAAGTAGCCATAACACTGGCATGTGTACTTTAATGACATTCCCAAGAATTCCCATTTGTCCCCAAGTGACTCTGACATATCCAACATGTCCTTCTCAAACTTTCCCTTGGTGCTGACTTGGACTCAACTAAGCCAGTCTGGACATAATGAACATTCACACAGAGCATAAGGACACCGAGAGGGGTCGTTAAGGACATCTTGTCGCCAGGTTTAATGGAGGATCAGAGCATCATTAATTTAAAAGACAGGCTCGCTTTGATGTCGCTGTCTAGAAAGAGTGTACATACTCCCAGTCACCTCATTTAACTTGGGAGGAAGAGCAGGGAGGAAGGAGGGTGAATACCTGTGGTTGGATGTCTGCATAAATACCTCTGTGATCTTTGTTTTTACTTTCCATATGAATGTTAAGAACACTATCCTACTGTTTCATTTATTGTGTCAGCTGCTATGTCTATTTCAGTCAAATGAAAAATGGCTTTGAAAAAACGTCGGTCAATAAGCATAGTTTCTCTTTTTTGTGTATAATTGATGTATTTGTATCGTATTGCTTTGCTTCTGTACCAGTTTCTGTTCATTTGATTGTGATACATGTGTAAAGATACCGTCTCCAATGCGTCTGAAAACAAACAAAGCTGTTTTTATTTTGACAGTGTTTTGAGTCTGGCCTTCACGTTGTCCTTGCAGCCTCTTATTGAATCCATGTCCACACAGTGTTAGCATTAGCTGTGGGTGGAGAGCAGAGGATCATGGGATTACAGCACAACAATGTTCCTGCTTCTCTGGC